TTTACTTCTTTGCAGATTTATGCCCTGTGGCTTCTATGCCCAGCACTTGTCTCGAGGTATCTTTACCACCTGGAGGAATTATGATACTCGGTAAATTCGATATGAGGCACGAATTCTATTTAAGGGTTGTAATTAGGAAGGAAGAAGAAAAGCTATAGATGTAGCATATGAAGGAAACATGGGAGGATTGATTATTTCTTTGACATATCTTCTTGTATAGTACCTTAAGTATGTATAGGTTTTAAACTACTAACTAATTTGCACACACATATTAACATAATAGGAATACGGTGACATAAACAAAGCAAATCTATAATTACCATCCATCTCCAGTGAAGCCAAGAAAACCATTTAGGCACCCTAGGCATTTGTGAAAATTTATCTATGATATGATGGATATTGTCCAACTGTACTTGAACAGTCTGAGAAAAATCAGACAAATTAAAGCAGCCCATTTCTGGGATCTGTTCACATCCCATATGTTCTTTTAACCGTAGATAGTCTATAGTCATGAGATTTTGGAGTGCTACAACTTGCACCCCTCCCAACTCCTGGTTGAGTTCCAACAGTACAGATCCGGTCAAATTCGTTGTCTAAAAACTGAAATTTTAAAGGCATAAAATTCAATAGAAAAGTGGGCAATAGAGATACCCAATAAAATTAAAATGTTCAATCTCATTTTCCCTGGGGAAATGCAAATTTCCCAATTTGTACCCACCAGAATACCTAAACAAAAACATTTTTAAAAGACTAATAATACCAAGTGGTGGACAAATTGGGATTCTTATATACTGCTGATGTGAGGGTCATTTGGTACATTTTTGGAAAGTTCATTGGCAGTATTACTGAAGCTGAAAACACCCAGATCCATTCTGAGGTATCTACCTGACAAATGCATTCAAATATTTATCAAAAGACATGTACAAGAATGTTCATAGCAAGTCTATTTTTAACAGTACCTAGCTGGAAGCAAGCCAAATAGCCATTAATGGCACAATGGATAAATAAGTGTAGCACCTTCATATGGTGGAATACTATAGAGTAATAAGAATGTACAAATGATTACACCAAAACAAGGATAAATCTCACAAATATAATTTAAGATAAAGAAGGTAGTACAAAAGGGCACACTCTGTATGATTCCATTAATATAAAGTTTGAAGGCAGACAAAATGAATGTACAATTTTTGAAACCAATATGGTGGTTTCCTTTAGAGAAGAAAGGAAGTAGAAACTGAAAAGGCATGAGGGAGATTTCTGTGGGGCTGCTAGTGTTCTATCTTTTGTGTTCATTTTGTGAAATTTCACTGGGTTGTACATTTCTGATTTTGTATACTTTTCTCTACGGATATCATACTTGAACAAAAAGCTTACTTTAAAAAGAAGCCATATTCGATAGCAAAAAAAAAAAAAACCTATACAGTATACTTAGAAATTAACATCTATGTGCAAGTCTTAAATGCAGAAAACTTTAAACTTTATGGAGCAATATTATATATGACCTGAGTAAGTAGAGATTCAGCTCAAGTTCATAAATAGGAAGATACAATACTACAAACATATTAATTATCTCCAAATTAATCTATAGACTCAGCGCACTTGCTTTTATAATTACAAAAGGCTTTTTAATGGACATTGACAAAATTATTGTAAAATTCATATGAAAAAAGAAAGATCCAAGTATAAATCAAGACCCTCTTTAAGGAGAATAGGATGTGGGTAGTAGCCTTACCAAATATCAAGATTTATCATAAAACTATAATAATAAAGACAATGTGGTATATTAGCAAAGGGAGAGACACTCCTGATCTTTACAACAGTATAGGAGATGCCCCAAATGCATATAATTGTACATTTAAAAGGCCAAATTTAATTGTGTATAAATCATATCTCAGTAGAACAACAAAATGACCTTATATGTGTGGATCTATTTCTGGACTCTGTTTTTTTCTCCATTGATCTATTTGTTGATTCTTCTGCTAGTACCACACTGTCTTGAATATGTAGTTTTATATTAGGTCTTGAAGTCAGGAAGTAGTAGTACTGCAATTTCGTTCTTTTCCAGTATTGTTCTGGATATTCTAGGTGCTTTGCATGTCCATTGTTTTCTTCTTATGGTTGAATAATATTCCATTGTGTATATATATACCACATCTTCTTTATTCATTTATCTACTGATGGACACTTAAATTGCTTCCATTTCTTGGCTATTGTAAATAGTGCTGCAATAAACATAGGGGTGCATATGTCTTTTTCAAACTGGGCTGCTGCATTCTTAGTGTAAATTCCTAGGAATGGAATTCCTGGGTCAAATGGTATTTCTATTTTGAGTTTTTTGAGGAACCTCCATACTGCTTTCCACAATGGTTGAACTAATTTACATTCCCACCAGCAGTGTAGGAGGGTTCCCCTTTCTCCACATCCTCACCAGCATTTGTTGTTGTTTGTCTTTTGGATGGTGGCCATCCTAACTGGAAAGTACAGCTCATTTTTATATTGTGACCATGGATCCTATGAACTTCTTAAGTCCACTTAATAGTTCTAGTTGCTTTGCCAATTAGTTTCTGTATATAAATGATCATGTTATCTGCAAGTAGAGATATTTTTAAGGCTTCATCTCTGCTATTTATGCCTTTATTTCATTTGTCTTATAGCACTGTTAAGGACCTCCAATAGAATGTTGAATAAAAGTGATAAGAGTGGGTATCCTTGTCTTGTTCCCAGGGGATTTTCATACTGCTTTCATGGAGATGTAAAATAGTATAACCACTTAGAAGTTAATTTACATTATCCTGTAAATTTGAACACTTGCTCATAATGGATGAAAAAAGAGGAAAAAAAACCCTCAAATTCCTAACTATAAGAAAAGGAAAGTGAGTAAATAAACTTATATAGTGGAAAATGACACTGCTGTGAAAAATAATAAACTCCAGTGACCCTCAACAATTTGGATGAATCTTAAAACACTAGTGCATAAAACACCCCAGGCCACATAAAGCAAAGTACAGTACCAGAGGATTTCCATGAAACTCAAAAACTAAACACCATGTTGTATCGGCATACACATAGATGTGATAAAAATATTAAAAGCAAAAAATGAAGGCAGGATAAGCACAAAAGCCAGGACAGAAGGAGGAGGCGGAGAGAGGGAAGGTTTGGGGTATAATAGGTACAAGTTTTTGGTAAGTCCTTGCTCTTGGGCTGGGAGGCAAATTCATTGTGTTAATCCTTTTATTTTTTCTTTAAAATGTACATATATTCTTTTTTTTTGCATTCCAAATATTTTTCAAGATTAAAGAATTGTAAAAAGCAGAATAATTGTTAGCATACTATATACATTGTTCTTGTTCTTTTCCACTTGCTGTGTCCTGGAGATTGTTCCCTGTCAGTACACACAGGTCTGCCTCATTCTTTCTAATGGCTGCATAGTATTTCACTGTCTAAATGCACCAACATTTATTTTATCAGTCTTCCCCTAGATGTATATTTGGGTTGTTTCTAGTCTATAAACAATGTTGTGATTAATATCATACATACATCTTTGTACAGTATCAGATTTCTAGAAGTGGAATTACCATGACAGAAAATGTGTTGCAATTCTGAACAGGTGTCTAAATTGCTTGTTCAACTTCAGAGACTAGCAGTTTAAGGCAATCGTGAATAGGGATGCCCTGCAGATATTGTCAGCAGGAAGTAGTTAAGGACACCTGTGAGTATGTGCTTGACTGCTTTTGCACTTACAAGGTATTTGAAACAGAGTAGGTGTGGAAGTAGGGTAAGGGTAACTATTGCTGTATTTGCCACTTGAGAAGAGCAATATTAGTGACCTAGGGCCTCCCGACCTGTTGGACAGCAAACCCATAGACTCAGTACAACTCTTGCCTACTGCCTGAGGGTGAGCCAGGAGAGGCTTGGAAGGGAGGGAAGAAAAACTATCCTGATGTTGGGCACATCTATTGCTGGGGTGGTCCTGAGGCACCTGGACCAGGCTTCCTCCCAGCACTGGCCCCACACAGGTGCCCAGGAACAAGCGTGACCCTGAAAATACCTTTTCCTGAAAGAGACCAGTTGGATTCTCTGTTGTGCCATCTGAGCAAGACTAGAGTGAGGCAAGTGAAGCAGTCACTCTGGGTGCAAAATTTACAGGCACACAAAATAACTGTAATCAAGATAAAGAATATTCTAATGTAGTATTTTAGAAAATTAAAACTTAAAAAATCCATGATGAACAAAATATCAAAACTTTACTTATTAAAGACAAGATCCAACCGTACACTTTCAGCACCTTGCCCCAGTCACCTCACTAGTCTGGTTCCAAGAAAACTTTATTTGCAAAAACAGATGGCCTGTCTGCAGGCTGTGGTTTGCCAATGAGATTTTTTAAAATTCCTTATTATATATGTTGTTATTTTGGTAAAATATTCATGATATAAAATTTATCATTTTAACCATTTTAAGTGTACAGTTCAGCGGTATTAAGTACATTCATCTTGTGGTGCAATTATATGACTTTTGAAAAATATTCCATCAATAGTATATATTGTGATCACTGGGTTCGAGGGTGCCCGAGGCCAGTGCTTCACCGGCCTTACTGGCTGGAGTCCTTTCCCCACCTCCCCGACTCCTCAGCCCCTCTTGGAGCCTGAGGATCAAAAACTGCAAGTTTCTCTTAAAGGCAGCAGCAGCAGAACTATTCTAGCAGCGACCAGGCCACTGACGATGCCCGTGCACACAGCCACCCGCGACAGGAAGACTTGCCCCACCTGCAACCGCCCACCCCCTTCGCTCTCCCTGCGACAGGGCGCACCTGGCGAGCGTGCCCTCTACCTGCGGTGGGCCACCTGGCCTGCAGCCCGCAGCGCCTGGCTCGCCCCGCTCCGGTCTGCCGACCAATGGGGAAGGGGGCCCCTCCTGGCTCGGGTAGCGTCGGGAGGAGCGGCCAATGGGAGCGCGGCATGCAAATGAGCAGGTGCGGTGGCGGCCGGCGGGTCCAGGCGGCAGTGGCTCAGAGGATGTTAGAGGCGCGCCGGGCGACCGCCGAGCAGACGCCCCGGCTTCCAGCCGCGAGCTCCGGTCTCCCGCCATGGCCCCCGCTCCGCCCCCCGCTTCCTTCTCACCGGTCGAGGTCCAGCGGCGCCTGGCGACCGGCGCCTGCTGGGTCCGCTGCGGGGCTCGCCTCTACGACCTCACTGACTTCGTGCGGCACCACCCGGGGGGCGAGCAGCTGCTGCGGGCACGGGCTGGCCAGGATGTCAGCGCCGACCTGGATGGGCCGCCGCACCGGCACTCGGCCAACGCGCGCCGCTGGCTCGAGCAGTACTACGTGGGCGAGCTGCAAGGAGACCCTCAGGTACAGCCCGGCCCGGGGTCCCACCCTCCTACTCCCTGGCCTCCTCCCCCAACTCTCTGCCTCGCGGGGAGGGAGACCCGTTCACCTGCCCTCTAGGAGGACCCAAGGTCAGCCTCCGCCCTCACCTCCGCTTCCCTGTCTCTTCTCTAACAGGTCACTGCCACCCCCCACCCCCAGCCAGGAGCTTGCCCTTCCTCTCCAGCATCTCGGGACCCGCTTGTACCTGCTGCTTCCCCCTGCCCAGTCCCTTCCTCCTCCACTTGTTTCCTCCGCAGCCTCTGCCATCTAACAACTTGGATCACTTTTTCCCAGCCCCTCAGACGCGCAGTCTTCCCCTCCTGTCCCCTTATCAGCCTTTCCCTTTTTGCGACGGCTCTTCATTTCTGTTGAATAAATAGCTTCCAGGCTCACCTGTCTCCTCCCCATCTCACCCTACTTTTGCTTCCAAAGTCACAGGTCAGTCACCCTTCTCAGCTAGTTTGGATTTCCTGTTACTGCTCTAGTCTTGGGTGGGTGCAGAGGTCAGGGCAGTGTCTTGGGTGGATCACACCCTCAAACCCCACAGACCCCCCCTTTCGTCTTTGTCTTGCATGCTGGCTTTGGGGTCCAAAAGTGTGCAATGACAGGGCTAAGCTAGTTTTGCCAGGGAGGAGGAATGAGCATGTTGAACTACATGCTGCTCTGCAGAAGAGGCTCATTATGGTATTTAGGCCTCAAGCCGATCAGGGGGTAAGTTTGTTAGCCCCACTTTAGGATGTGGAAACTGAAGCTCAAGGAGGCTCAGGAACCTGCCCAAGGTCAAACAGCTATTTAGTGGAAAAGCCAAGTGTATCTAACTCCATATACAGTGCTCTCCACCCCAAGGATCCTTGGGTGTGGAAGATGGCCCCTATCCACAGGGATCCAGGCAGGCTCTGTCCAAAGGCAAACGGACTCCTCAGGCCTTCCCCAGGCCTGGCTGTAGGACTGGTGACAGTGAGCCATCATGCTGGGACATAAACGACCCATTGTTCCCTGCTTCTAGCTCTTGCTTTCAAGATGGCCCCAGCAAGTGCTTTTAGGCGGCTCCTCACTGGGCCATCTTGCTTAATACTTCAGTTATTTATTCACTCAGTCATTCACTTGGTCTCTTAATGGTTGGCAACACTGAGCTAGGCACTGGGGAGGCACTAATGGACAAATGGAGCTAGCAGGTTAATGAGGGAACATGCTAACTGCATATTAATATTTAATTATCTGGTGCTATCAGAGGATGGATCTAGAGGAGAGGAGTTTAGGGAGAGCTTTCTTGAGAAAGTAACATTTATACTGAGAGCCAATTGATGGATAGGGCTTTATCCAGGTGAAGTGTGGTGGCACGAACATTCCAGACCAAGGGAATAGCATTTGTGAAGACTCCAAACAGTAAGCAGTTGGCACAGTCAGGACAGAAATAAAACCTTGTGACCAGAGGCTTTGGGCAAGGAAAGGGAAGTGGGAAGAGGCCAGACATCTGCATCTGTCTGGCCCATCATGCAGGGCCTCTCAGGCTATGGTCACGATTTGGGACTTGATTCTAAGAATGATGGGAATCCAGGGAGGGGACCAGCAGGGATGCAGTGTGGGCAGATTTGCATGTCTGGAAGAACACCCTGGCTGCAGTGCCAAAAAGGATAGGAGGAAGCCCAAGTGGGTGTGAGGCGACTAGGCAGGAAGCTACTGCACAGCCTGGGGAAGGGGTAACGGGGCTTGCACCACAGTAGCTGTGCGTGAAGGGGGCAGGAGGGATTTCACAGGTAAAATGCCAGGACTCAGCATTCTGCAAGGGGAGCCCAGTTCAATTTTGGATGTTGTTGTTTGGTGTCAGGACATGCTGAAGGGGCAGAAGGTTTAGCTGTAGTTACAACTACAGAAAGTGCAGGAAATGAGTTTGGGACCAGAATACTAGAGACTTCCAGGCCTGTGATGGCTCACGGGAACCATTCTCCATTGTAACTGGGTCCTATAAACAGGAGCCTTAGGGTGTGCCTTCTCCCCGGACCATCTTGTCACTCCTGGCCAGCTGCCCTAGATGGTTCCACCTCCCAGTTCTGCTAACCACCCTCAACACGGTTTGATTTGGATTTGCTTTGTTTTGCCTTACCTGATCCTCAGGGAGGGCTCAGAATACTGCGTCCAAATTTGCTTCCTATCCCTGCATTCGCTTGTCACCCCAGGAGTCCCAGCGTGGCATTGTTGCAGGCATCCTTATTTCTGGGCCCCATCCTGAGAATGTGAGGAAAAAAGCTAAAATCTAACAACGCACTTACAAACTCACGGCCCAAACTTGACCAATGGTCATACTCCCCCAAATCCATAGATTTCTATTCTGGCTACTAATATAGGGTTGTCTTTAAATTGGGAAAAGAGGTAGTGAGAAGAGAAATCTGGAGTAGCATCCTTTTGGAGAGAAGCCATCTTCTCAAGGACTGACTGGAGACAAGACATTTCTGTTCTTCCTTCTAGCTAAGCCCTTCTAGCAACTCTCATGTTGCCTTCCCCACCTCTCTTCCCCTTCCCTGCTGGACCACAGGTGCTGACACCTGTTGAGGTTAAACCCAGCTCCTGTATTGTGAGGCCTGGGAGGGGCATTTTGGGGGCAGGGTGGTGTCATGAACTAGCTCTGTTGTTTGGGGTTTATTTCTGAATGGGATCCTCCTAAGGGTCCTCCTTCCTGAGTGTAGTCCTTGGAGAGGAGCGTCCTGGAGCTCTGCTGTGAAATTTCCAGGGAGAAGGCCTGGCCCCATTGATTTCCCCTGTTCCCCACTTTGCCACACCCCCTCTGTGTATACACTTGCACTCACATTCACACTCATATGAAGACACACACACAGAACAAGTCAAACTTGTTTGAGACAGCATACTGTGGGGGTGAGACAGATCTGCTGTGGCTGTGGTCTTGGACTTGAGGAAGCCAGGCTGCCCGCCTTGCGCAAGCGAATGAGCAATGGCTGAGTAGGGAAGCCAGGCCATCTTCTCTCCCCGGCCTTCAGGGCCAGTAGGGTCAGGCTCCTCTGTCCAAGCTCAGGTAAGAGCAGTGTTCTTCCAAGTGCGCTCACACTGATAGTGGGGCATTGTGGAGCTGCAATCAGCATTTTTAAAAAAGAAATAGGAAGGGAAAGAACATTGGCTCCAAATCTCCTCCCAAACCCATAGATACTGTGTTTTCCAAGCTTGGGTCATCTATGAATCACTGTCCCTGTTTTTTCTAAATTGGCATACCACTTGAACTGTTATATTTAGTGTTTATCTTTAAATAGACTCACTTTCTATTTTACCATTTAGTCACCCTAGGCAATAATACCAGTGAAATCATAGGTTTTACATGCACTTTAAAATAGGTATAGAGCTATTAAAATAAGAAATGCTCATCCTCAGATCTCCTAAAATTATCTTGGTTACTATCAGTGGAGTAAATATAAGACTTTGAAGAACATATAGAGCAGAGCTTCTTAACCCTGGTGTTCTGGGAGCCATTCTCTGGGATTGATGAAAGGGATGAAATTGTATGTAAAAACTGCATGGCTGAGCATTTTGCTATTGAGAGAGCTGCAGCTTTCATCACAGTCCAAGCTGGATCTTCCCTCTCCCCAAACCTGCCACCGAGAGGATGGTATGTGTGAAAGGGCAGCTCACGCTTCCTCATCTAACACGCATAGACCTCAAGAGGTCCTCCCACGGACAGGTGTCTGACTTGCCCTGAACAAGAGCCCTCTGTTTGAGAAGACCCTGGAGGAAGGTGAGCCTGCACTCCCAGCACTGTTGTTGGGGTGACCCTGATATCTGTCTGTCTCTGGGCACCATGCTCTGACCCCACAGGGTGCATCTGTCTCTGAGGGGCTGAGAAGTCCACAGATTCTGCCATGTGTGGTCCTGCCAGGCTCTGGGTCTGGCTGTTCAGAGCTTCAGGACTTGAGTCATTAAGTGGGGAATGAACAATAGGGAGGAGGTCTAAATGCAAGAAGACTGAGGGTCCGCACCACATCCCAGGCTCCGTATTGTCTTGAACGCAGCCTAACCAGGGAAGCCCATCTGAGCTGAGAATTCAGACAAAAGCTGATGCTTGGCAAATTTTCCAGACTGTCCCCACCTGCAGAGTGGGGTGCACATGCCTGCTAAGTGAAGGCATTTGAGATCTGCTTAAGCCTACAACAGGGCTTCCCAGTCGAGCCTGCATGGCCAATCAGGACCATCATCCTTTGCTGCCTACTAGGGATTTCCATGCTCTGGCTCGCTGTAATGCCCGCAAGTCTTACCTTGAAGATGAGCCTAGCGCCAGCCAGAAGAGCATCCAGGGACCCAGGGCACTGTGGTTCCATGTGACACCAGGGTAAACACAGGCTCCAGGAGTGTTCTCTGGTGTTACTCCAGAATCCAGTGAATGAAGGGGCTTTGAGACCCAAATTGAGGGGAAGTTCAGAAATTAGGATACTGGGAAATTAAAGGAAACAAACAGATATTCCAGAAATACCTGGAAGGAAGAATCTTTGGCTTACACTCCCAGGAAAGAACCCAAACTGATACCTGGGCAGCATCTATCATCTTCCCTTTCCTTGTTTTTTTTCTTACGACATTCATAACATGCTCATCATTGGTCCATACGTTGTCTTCATTCGTTTAGGTAGTAAGTGCTGTTCTCTCTGAAACCCGCTACACCACCGAGCCTGCCCTCACGGGGGTCATCGGAGCCTTCACCTCACTAAGCCCAGTGATCAGCTCTCACCTTATCTCACCTGACTCGGCAGCAACTCTTGACATGATGCTCACTCCCCACCTTCTTTATACACTGTCTTCACTTGGCTTCTGGATACCACAGCCTTTTGGTTTTCCAGCTGCATTACTTTGGTATTGCTGCTGCAACAAATCTCACAAACTCAGTTCCTCAAGGCAACACAGATGTATTCTCTTACAGTTCTAGAGGTCAGAAGTCCAAAATGAATCGGCAGGCAGCCTACCTTTTGAAGGTTCTGAGGGTGAATCCA